AGTTTGGCAAGGTATTGAATTAGGGAGGCAGATTCTGCTGCCATCCAATGATCACACACAGCTGCCATGACAGCTGTTGGGCCGCCAGACATCCACTCGTGGCCTCCACGAAAACCCAAGGAACCCACCCTCTCAGCTCACCTGTAGCGCAGGCCGTGGGCCAGGCTGCTATCCATGGCCACCTGGGCCAGGAGCAGCCCCGCCAGGCCGGCGGCGCCCTCCAGGTGCCCCGCCAGCACTTTCACCGCGCCCAGGGTCAAGGAGTGACCGTCCAGCTGGGCCGGGGTCGCGCCGCGGCGGGTGACCGCCTTGCGCAGCCCGCCGGACTCGATGGGGTCGCCCAGCGGTGTGCCCGTGCCGTGGGTGGACACGTAGTCCAGCACATCCAGCCTCGCCGCGGCCATGGCGGCTGACACCAGCGCCTGCTGGCTGGGGCCGTGCGGCGCGGTGAGCCCGCTGGACCGCCCGTCCTGGTTGACGGCGCTGCCGCCCAGCACTGCAGACAGGGTCGACGCGAACGTCGGAGCGTCGCCGTCTTCCCCTCCAGCCCCACCAGCCAGCTCCAGGACCACCGACACGTAGCCCTCGCCGCGGCCGTAGCCGTCGGCCTCCGCGCCAAAGGCCTTGCAGCGGCCGTCGGGGGACAGCGCGTGCACCTGGGTCATGGCCGCCGAGGCGGCGCCCGGCAGGAGCATGGAGTTGACCCCGGCGGCCGTGGCCAGCGTGCAGTCTCGCGTGGTCAGGCCGGCGGCCGCCAGGTGCAGGGCCACAAGGGAGGAGGAGCAGGCGGTGTTGGTGGGCACGGAGGGGCCCACCAGGCCCAGCGCATAGGACACGCGGCCAGTCATGAAGGCCAGGCCATTGCCGGTGACCATGTAGGCCCCCGCCGGGTTGCCCGCGGCGGTGGCCAGGTCGCCGTACTCCAGCCAGATGCAGCCGACGTAGACACCGGTGGGGGAGCCGACCAGGGTGGCAGTCGCATGCCCCGCGCTCGCAAATGCGTCCACGGTGGTCTCCAGCAGGATGCGCTGCTGGGGGTCCATGAGCGCCGCCTCGGTCAGGCTGAGGCCAAAGGCCTCGGGGTCAAAGGCAAAGGTGTCGTGCACGAAGGAGGCGAAGCGCGTGGACACACGGCCCACGCCGCCGCCGGCAGAGAACAGGGCGTCCGCGTCCCAGCGCGGCGCCGGATCGGTGGCGATGAGCTCCCGGTCGGCCACCAGGGCCGCGCGGAAGGCAGCCAGGTCGTCGATGCCGCCGCCCAGGCGCAGCGCCACGCCCGTCAGCCCCACCACCGACCCGTGCTGGCTGGGCACAGGGGTGGCGGGCGCGGCGCGGAGGGCCTCCTGGCCGGCCACCTCCTCCTCGCCGCCGCCCATGGACTCCACCACAAACTCGGCGATGGCGGAGACGGAGGGGTAGTCGAAGGTGAGGGTGGCGGGCAGGTCCAGGCCGAAGCGCTTGGACAGGCCGTTCCGCAGCTCAACCGCGCCCAGCGAGTCCAGCCCCGCCTCCATGAGCGAGGCGGTGACGCCCACGGGCGCGCCCAGCACCCCCGCCACGGTGTCCAACACTGCCTCGGCCACCGTCTCGCGCGCCAGCCCGGCGGCCGGGCGCGCGGCGGCGCTCGAAGTTTTCATCGCAGTCGCGGCAGTGGATGCTTCCGCCGCGGCCGCGCCCGCCCAGTCCGAGAACAGGGGCAGGTGGCGCGCGGCCTCGGCGCCGCCCAGGCGCGCGACGAAGCGCGGCCAGTTGAAGGGGTTGGCGGAGCGGACGGCGATGGATGGTGCGGCGCCGGCCAGCAGGCCTTCCAGGGCGGCCAGCCCGGGGCCGGGCTCCACCATGCCCATGCCCATGCGCTGGACGCGGGCCTCGGTCTCACGTGAGGCCATGCCGCCGCCGGCCCAGGCGCCCCACTGCACGCTGACGCTCGGCAGGCCGGTGGCCGCGCGGGCGGTGGCGGCCGCGTCCAGCGCCGCGTTGGCGGCCGCATAGTTGGTCTGCCCCGGGGCGCCGAGCAAAGACGCCACCGAGGAGAAGAGGACGTGCAGCGGTGTGGGCGCCCGCGCCCGCTCCGAACCCCGCACGCTGGCAGTCTTGGGCGCAAACACAGCGCGCAGGCCGCGCACGCTCTGGTTGCCCAGCGTGGCGTCCGCCAGCACGCCCGCGGCGTGCAAGACCGCGCCGTAGGCGCCCAGCAGGCCCAGCGCCGTGGCGTCCTCGCCCGCGGCGGTGTCGGCCTTGAAGACGGTGACCGCGGACCGCGCGACGATCAGGCCCGGCTCCAAGTCGCCGCGCCCCGACCGGCTGACCAGGACGGCGGCGCGCACGCCGCGGCGCTGCGTCCAGCCGGCCACCAGGCGGCCCAGCGTGCCCAGGCCGCCGGTGACCAGCACCGGCGCGTCGGCCCGCGGCGCCTCGACGCCCTGAGGCAGCCGCACCACGATCTTGCCCACGTGCCGAGCCTGCGACATCTGGCGCAGCGCGGCCGTCACCGCGCCCATGCCGTGGGAGATGTGGGGCAGGGGGGCGAGCGTGCCGGCGGCCGCCTGGCTCGCCACGCGGCTCAGTGCAGCGTGCAGCGCATCCTCCGACATGAAGTCCACGGCCACGAGGCCGTAGGAGACGTCGGTGCGCTCTGTGAAAGGAGCCAAGGCAGGGAATGTTGAGAGGGGGGAAGGGGTTTGGGAGCTTTGTGGAAGGGGAGTGGGAGTCGATCAGAAACTGACAGAAGGCTTGTTGGGAATGGGCTGCTGATGCTGAGAGAATGAATGCTGTGTCCAGCCACGTGAAGAAACTGACTGGGAAACCAGTTCCTTGACTCAGTCCGCACATAGGGAGCATTCTCAGCACCCCATGCTACCACCGCACCCCTACACACAAAACACCAAGCCCACGCCCACCTTGTGCCACCCGCCCCGCGCTCCAGATGTCGCGCTTGCTGATCTCCACGAAGCGCCCACCCAGGCGCAGCACGGCCAGGGATGCCGCCACCATGCCGGGCGAGGTCAGGGTATTGAGCACCACCGACAGGCCCATGGGGTCCAGCTCCGGCGCCTCCTGGGCAAAGAGAGCATCTCGCGAACCCAGCACGTCCCGCACGCCCAGGCTGCGCAGCAGCGCGCGCTTGACCGGGCCACCCGCCGTGGCCACCGGGAAGGCGCCCGCCCGCGCGATGACCTGGAGCGCCGCCAGGCCCACGCCGCCGGCAGCGGCGTGCACCAGCACCCTCTCGCCGGGGGCGATGCGCGCCGCCTGATCCAGCGCCGCGTCCGTGGTGACGAAGACGGTGGGCATGGTGGCCGCGGCCTCGAAGGAAAGCAGCGCCGCGGGGAGCGGCACCACTGTCTTGGAGGAGGCCACCACGCTGCTGCCCAGGCAGCCGCTGGCCAGGCCAAACACGGGCGTGCCCACAGCCAGGGCCGGGTAGCCGGGCGCGGTGGGGCCGCAGGCCGCCACCACTCCCGCGCAGTCCCCGCCGGGGGGGCCGGGGTCTCCCGGATACATGCCCAGGACGTTCAGCACGTCCCTGGTGAGTGGTAGGTGGCAGCAAGAGGGGCTTGTATGTAAGTGTGCTCGGGGAGTGGGCTACCGAGGACGGGGGGGGGGTGGGAGGCAAGAGGGGTGTATTTCAAGCTCCCTTAGTCCTTCCCAGACATCCCATTCCCTGCCAGCCTCAGTCGGTCATACCCTACCTGAAGTTGAGGCCCACGGCCTTGACCTCCAGGGCCACCTGCCCCGGCTTGAGCGCATCCAGGCCAGAGACAGCCACGGGCTTGAGGGACCCGAAGCTGCCGCGAGGCACGGGGAGCAGCTGGAAGGCGGGCAGCGTGCTGTGCGCCGTTGTGCTGGCGCCCAGGCGAGGCTCGTGAAGGACCGAGGCCCGCACCGCCTGGCCGTAGCCGTCAAAGGGTGCCTGGGCGCCCGTCGTGCCGCCGATCTGCAGGGCGGATCGACACCCCGCGCACCCGGCGGCAAAGCCGTCGGCGTCCGCGCCGCTCACTCCGATGGCGGGGAGCTCCTGCGCGGCCGCACGCACCAGGCCCCAGACGGCGGCCCCGGGCAGGGTGTCGAGACCCGGCCGAGGGCCGCTGCTCTGCGCGGCGGGGTGCGTGCCCGCGGTGGCGAGGTGCAGTGCGTCGGCGCCTCCGCTTGTCGCTGCAGCTTGCACGGCTGCCAGCGCCGCTGGGATGGCGAGCCCCGCGCCTCTGTCGCTGGCACGCACGGTCAAGGCCCCGTTCCTCGCAGGTGTCTCTTCCGAAGAGGCTGCGACGCTGCGCGCCGCCAGCCAGGAGATGTCGTAGAGCATGTCCTGCACCTCCACCGATGGCGGGGCGCTGCCAGCCCCGCCGGCGTCGCCGATGGCGCGGGACACGAGGCCGTCGAGGGTGCAGACGAGCGCGCCCTGGCTGCCGACCAGCAGCACGTCGCGGGACATGGCCGCCGCCGAGTCGGCGTGCCGCGGGTTGCGCGCGGCCCGCGCTGCGACGGGCTTGACCCCGGGCGCGGGGACCACCAGCGCCCCCAGCCCGGCGGGCAGGAAGACGGCGCCCTGCACGGCGGCCTGGTTGGCCAGCATGCCCCCCAGCTGCAGCCCGTTGTCCAGCGCCGCGGGTCCGAGCAGGAACTCTGGGGCCCCGGAACAGGGCCCCTCCGGCGCCAGCGCGGCGGCGACGCCGCGCTCGCCGCGCTTGACGCCGCGCAGCAGGCGGAAAGCGCGGCCGTACTGCAGGCCAGCGGCCGCCAGGCGCTCGTAGGTGTACACGGTGTCCACGGGCTCGGGCGTGCCGGCCAGCAGGCCCTCTGTGGCGGAGGCACCGCCGTCCATGGCACCGTTTGCGCCGACACTCGCCACGCGCGACAGGGACAGGCGCACGTGCACCGTGCCGCCGTCGGTGCTGGACAGCGTGGCGTCCCCGGATGCCAGGTCCACGGCGCCCTCCAGCACCAGGGTCGCGCCGGGCGCGCCCAGGATGAGCGGCGCCGAGATGGCGGCGGCCGTCAGCGCCAGGCCCGCCGGCGCCGCCGACGGCGCAGCGAGGGTGCGGCCCATGGCCGCCGCCATCTCCAGGTAGCCCGCGCCGGGGAACACCGCGCGCCCATTCACGCGATGGTCCCAGAAGAAAGCGTGGGCGGGGTGTGCTGTGTCCATGGCAAAGGCCACGCGCATCGCCGTAGGGGCCACCACGGTCGAGCCGATCTGCGGGTGGGCCGGCGGCAGCACGCTGAGGTGCTGCCGGGCCCAGGCGATGGGCGCGATCGTCCTTTCCCCCGTGCCCTCCAGGCTGCCCAGCAGCGCGTGCGCGTTGGTGCCCTGGAAGGCAAAGGAGCTCACGCCCGTGACGGTGCTGGCACGGGGGTCGCCCGCGCCGGCGCGGGGCATGCTGAACCTCGCCGCCCCGCCCAGGCTGCCCTCGATGTAAGGGTTTATCTACGTGAGTTGAATTGAGCATTGCGCGTCAGACAAGGGTGTGCAGGTGAGCGAGCGCGAGTGATAGGTCAACTCGGCGTAGTCACATGTCCCTCGACTGTGAGAGACATCATGCGCAACTGTGTGGCACCAGACGGGCTTGGTCGCCCTTACCCACGGTGATCATGCCACGCTCCAACCCCCAAGCACTCCCGCTTCCTCGTTTCCCCTTCCCTACCCACGAGCACCTCACCTTTGTCAGGTGCAGCACAGGCTGCACGACACGCTGACTCAGCGCCCGCTGGGCGTGCGCCAGGCCCACCACACCGGCCGCCGGCTCGGTGTGGCCCATGGAGCTCTTCCCCGCACACAGGGTGAGGGTGGCGCCGCCAAAGACGGCGGCCAGGGCCCCCGTCTCGATGGGGTCGCCCAGGGGCGTGCCGGTGCCGTGCATCTGCACGCCGCCCAGAGCCGGGGGGGCCAGGGCGGCGGCGTGCAGTGCGGCGCGCAGCGCGCCCTGCTGCGCGGGGCCGTTGGGGGCGGTGAGCGTGGAGGACTTGCCGTCCTGGTTCACCGCCGAGCCGAGGAGCAGGGCGCGGGGTGCCGGGGCTTCTGCGCTCGCGTCGCCGTCGCACACGAAGCGCGCATGCAGGGCCACCGCCGCCTCGCCGCGGACGGAGCCGCCGGCGGCGGCGTCCAGCGTCTTGCACCGCCCGTCGGCGGTCAGCATGCCGGCGCGGTTGAACATTGCGCTGGTGCCCGGGGTGAGGATGAGCTTCACGCCCGCCACCAGCGCCTCCTCGCAGTTGCCCGCGGCCATGCCCAGGCGCGCGGCGTGCGCGCCCACCAGGGAGGAGGAGCAGGCGGTGTCGATGGCCAGCGCCGGGCCCGTGAAGCCCCAGAGGTAGCTGACGCGCCCCGCCGCCACGCTGGTAGCCGACCCCGTGGCCGAGTAGGCCGAGATGTCGGAGTGGGCGCGCGCCAGGTCGGCGTAGTCGGGCGTGGAGATGCCGACGAAGACGCCCACGGCGCGGGAGCCGGCGTCAGCGGAGCGCAGCGCCTCGCCCGTAAGCTCCAGCAGTGCACGCTGCTGGGGATCCATGAGCACCGCCTCGGTGGCGGTGGTGGCGAAGGCCGCCGCGTCCCAGGCGTAGGGCTCCTCCACCCAGCCGCCGAAGCGGGCGGGCAGGTCCAGCGTCAGCTGCACCTCCCCGTCCCAGCGCGATAGCGGCACGTGGGAGATCGCGTCCGCCAGTGTGCCGGTGGACAGCACGTCCCGCGGCGAGCGCGAGGCGACCGACGTGATGACGATGGCCGAGGACGTGATGGGGGCAAGATCTGCCGGGCCGGCCGACGGCGGAGCAGCAGCAGCAAAGCGCGCCGCGGATGCTGCAATTCCTGCGGCCCCCACACCATGGACAGCAGCTGCAGCAGCAGCCTGGGCGCTCAGAGTCTCCTCCACGTACGCCGAGATGGCGTCTACGGTTGGGTAGTCGAAGACCAGGGTGCCCGGCAGCTCCATGCCCAGACTGGACTGAAGGCCGTTGCGCAGCTCCACCGCGCCCAGCGAGTCCAGGCCCGCCGCCATGAGCGGGTCGCCGCGAGCGACCTCCCCGCCAATGATGGAGCGGGCAGCAGACTCGACCGCGGCGGCGATGAAGGCAGCGCGCTCCGCGCGCTCCATCCCAGCAGCCGCAGAGGCTGGCGCTGCTCCTGTCTGAGCAACACCGCCCGCCACCCCCGCTTCTGCCACTGCGGCCGGCTTCAGGTGCGCAAACTCGGCGAAGAGCTCCGGCACAGGGCCGGCGGCCAGCAATGTGGGCCAGTGGATGGGCGTCATGGCCAGGCAGGCCGGTGGGCTGGGCGCGACGCCCAGCACCCCCGCCAGCGCGGCCAGGCCCGACACGGGGGTCAACGCCCCCATGCCCGAGGCGCGCATCTTCTCCGCGCTGGCGGCGGCCATGCCCGCGCCGGCCCACGCGCCGAAGCGCACGGAGTGCACGCCGCGGCCGGCCACCTGCGCTGCGGCCGCGGCAGCGTCCAGCGCCGCGTTGGCAGCGGCGTAGTTGCTCTGCCCCGGGGACCCCAGCGCAGCGGCCAGGGAGGAGAAGAGCGTCAGCGCGGCGACAGGGAGCGCGGAGATCCCAGCGCCCCGCGCCAGCACGTCCAGCGCGCCGAGCTTGGGCGCGAACACGCCGCGCACGCTCTGTGCGCTCTGGTTGGCGAAGGCCGCGTCGGCGAGCACGCCGCCGGCGTGCAGGACGCCGGCCAGTGGCGCCAGGGTCAGGCCGAGGTCGGCGAGATCGCCCGCCGCGCCCGCGTCGCAGGCCGCCAGCGAGACCGCGCAGCGCTGCGCCAGTAGGGCACCCAAGTTCTGACCCCGGCCGCCGCGGCTGGCCAGGGTCAGGCCCGTCACGCCCTGGCCCAGGAGCCAGCGGGAGAGCACGGCGCCCAGCGCGCCCGTGCCGCCAGTGACGAGGTAGCGCCCCGGCGCGTCGGCGCGCGGCGCGCCCAGCGCGCCGCGCGCGCGCACCACCACCTTGCCCACATGGCGGGCGGTGGACATCTGGCGCAGCGCGCCCGCCACGGCGCCCAGATCGTGGGTGATGGTGGGCAGCGGCGCCAGGTGACCCCGCGCCAGGCCGGCGCTGATGCGCAGGAGCGCTGCATGCATGGCGGGCTGGGACATGAAGTCCACGGCCAGCAGGCTGTACAGCACGTCGGGACGCTCTGTGGGGAGGGAAGGAGGGAAGGGGGGATGGGTTCATGAGGATGACAGGGTTGGGGTGGAACACGCCACAAGGGTATGGCACTGGGTCGGGTGAAGGGCCGAGGGGCGACATGCACAGGGATCAACGCATGCCTGCGCACCAGCCACGCCACTCCACACCCACCCTGCGCAAAGCGCCCCGAGCTCCAGATGTCGCGCTTGCTGATCTCGATGAAGCTGCCGCCCCCGCTCAGGCCGGCCAGGGAGGCCGCCACCATGCCAGGCGAGGTGAGGGTGTTGAGCACCACGTCCGCGCCGCCCAGCATCGCGACCTCGTCGGCAAAGACCAGGTCGCGCGAGCCGATGACGTGCGCCACGCCCAGGCTGCGCAGCAGCGCGCGCTTGGCGGGGCCGCCCGCCGTGGTCACGGGCGTCGCGCCCGCGCGGCGGATGACCTGCAGCGCGGCCAGGCCCACGCCGCCTGCGGCGGCGTGCACCAGCACCCGCGTGCCGTGCCCGATGCCGGCCAGCCTGTCCAGTGCCGCGTCCACGGTGATGAACACGGTGGGCATGGTGGCCGCGGCCTCCAGGCAGACGCCGGCCGGCACGCGGACCATGGTGAGGCCCGAGGCCAGCACGTGTGTGCCCAGGCAGCCGGCGGCGAGGCCGAAGACGGCGTCGCCGGGGGACAGCGCAGTCACGCCGGGGCCGATCCGCGTCACGATGCCGGCGCAGTCGCCGCCGGGGGGTCCGGGGTCGCCTGGGTACATGCCCAGCACGTTGAGCACGTCCCTGTTGTCATGAGTATAGAGAATGGGAAGGGGGGGGGGGTAGTGGGGGACAGGGGCCTAGCTGCAAGGTTACGACATGCAGCACTTTCAGTCGGGAACCTGGAAAAAGGCACTGGTGAGCGTCAACAATCCGTTGCAAGCTGTGACACCCAAACCACTCGTTCCTCCGATGTCACCATCCTCTCCGACCTGTCCCCCTCCGAAAACACAACAACAACCCCTTGCCTGAAGTTGAGGCCCACCGCCTTGACTGCCACGACGATGTCCTGCCCCGCCAGCTTCCGCTCCGGGTCAAAGGGCACGGGGGCAAGGGAACCCAGGCTGCCGCGCGGCATGGGCATGAGGTGGTGCGGCGGCAGCTCCTCCCTCACGCGCTCAGCGTGCAGGAGCAGCGGCGCCATGGCGCTGCCGCCCCGCACCGCAGACCCCAGCGCCGACGTCAGCGGGTGCAGCGCCGGCAGCGCCGATGCGTCTACCAAGCGCAGGCCGGCGGCTGCGGGCGCGGATCGATCCGCAGGGTCAGTCAGTCTCGCGGTCCAGCCCACGCCCGGCACCTCCTGGCCCAGCGTGCGGATGAGGCCGGAGAGGCCCAGCACGCCAGTCGATGGCGGGGCGGTGGACGCCGCGCTGGGCGCGACGGCGCCAAACCCGGCGCCGGCCGGGGCCTCGAACACAACAGTCCGGTTGCGGGCGTCGGGCGCGGCGACGGCGCGCTGCAGCGCGGCCAGCGCGGCGCTGACGCCCTCCACGGCCGAGGCGCGCGCATCGCGCCAGAGCAGGCTGCCGGCAGGCTCGGCATGTCCGTCGCCCGCCGGCCGGGACGCCTGCCAGGCGGTGGAGTACAGGCAGGCGACACGCTCCACGGTCCTCTGCGCGGCGCCGCCGCCGGCCATGCGCTTGGCCAGCAGGGCCGACACGCTGGCCAGGGGGCCGCCGGCGCCCTTGGACCCAGGCAGCAGCGCGTAGTCGCTTCGCGCCTCGCCGACAGGGGCGGGCAGGGGCAGGCACGCCGCCCAGCTGGCCTCGTGGCTGCGCGGCAGGCCCGCTGCCCCTGGGTCGATGGCCAGCGCGCCCAGGCCCGCCGGCACGTACAGGTCGGCGGGGGCGGCACCGAACACCTGCCCCAGCTGCAGCGCACAGTCCAGGGGGGCGGGGTCGAGCCAGAGGCCCGACCGGCCCGTGTCGGAGCGCAGGCCCGCCGTCGCCGCGGGCGCGGCAGAGGCGGGCAGGTGCTCTGCGAGCGAGAGCATCGCTCTGACAGGGAGCAGCGCAGAGGCCCTCGCAGGGCCTGTCGCGAGGCGCTGGCCGTCGTTGCTCGCCGTCCCTGCCGCCTCGGCGCTGGCCAGCACGTGGCTGGTCGTGCCGGCGATCGACACGCTGGCGATGACCAGCGCGCCGTCGGCGCCGTCCACGGTCACCCGCAGGACCACGCCGTCGCCGCCGCGCTGACCGAGGCCGGGCAGGACACAGGGCGCGGGGATGGCCGCTCCGGTCACCAGGGCACCGGCTGGCGCGCGCGAGACGGCGCGCACGGCGGCGCCCGCCGCCTCAAAGTATCCTGCCCCGGGGAAGAGGGCCCGGTCCAGGACCTGGTGGTCCCAGAGGAAAGCGTGGCGCGGCGCCGTCAGATCCGTCTCCAGGATCACGCGGCCGCGGACGGCGCTCGTCACCACCTGCAGGAGCGCGTGCGCCTGTGGCAGCACGCTCTGCCTGCCGCCCCGCCAGGGCAGCGGCGCCTTGGGGTCAGCGCGCGTCGCGCCATCTTCGGCGCCGGAAACAACGGGGGCCAGCAGCGCGTGCGCGTTGGTGCCCTGGAAGGCGAACGCCGACACGCCCGCCACCGAACGGCCCCCAGTCCCCGCCAGCGGCAGGTTCTGGCGCGGCAGCGCCACGCAGCCCGGCCGCGTCTCGTCCAGCGCCGCGGAGACGTAGGGGTTGATGGCGCGCAGGTGCATGATGGCGGGCGCGAGGGCGCGCCCCGCCGCCGCCGCGCCGAACAGCGCGCCGACCAGGCCCGCGGCTGGCTCAGCGTGGCCCAGCCAGGACTTGGAGGCGCCAAAGGCGACGGGGGATCGCCGCGCGGCGTCGATGAGCACTGCCGTGGCCGCGCCCATCTCGATGGGGTCGCCCAGCGGGGTGCCCGTGCCATGCATGGACAGGGCGTTGACCTCCGCGGGATCGACCCCGGCAAAGGCCAGGGCGCTGCGCATGACCTCCTGCTGCGCCGGGCCGTTGGGCGCCGTCAGGCTGGAGGAGCGTCCGTCCTGGTTCACCGCCGAGCCCAGCATGGCCAGGGGCCGGTCGGCGCCCGACACGCTGGCGTAGTTGGCGCCCAGCTTCGCGGCGGCCGCCAGGACCAGCGTCAGCACGGCCTCGCCGCGGACGTAGCCGTCTGCGGCGGCGTCCAGGGCCATGCAGCGCCCCGACACGCCCAGCATGGAGGCGCTCCAGACGTAGGCGGTGCTGGTGCCCGTGGCCTGAACGTGGGCGCCGGCCGCGTAGGCCAGCGCCGACTCGCCGGCAGCCAGGCCGCGCGCGGCGAGGTGAGCGGCCACCAGGGAGGCCGAGCAGGCGGTGTCGATGGACAGCGCCGGGCCGCGGAAGCCAAAGGTGAAGGACAGGCGCCCGCAGGCCACGGACAGGGCGTTGGCTGTCGCGTGGAAGGCGCCCTTCTCCACTGCGGCCGACACCAGGCTCCCGTAATCGGAGCTCGCGATGCCTTAGTTGTTTTGGGGGGGGAGGGGGGAGGTTGGGGAGGGAGGCGTTGGCGACATGTTGAGGTGGGAAGGGTGAGAGAGGTAGAGTGCATGAGGGTGTGACAGCATGCATCCCCGACAGAGACACAGAACGGCATCCACAACACTGTATACCATGCTTCAGAACCCCCATCACCACTTGCACCTCCGCCACCTCCCCGCGCCTCCCCCTCGTACGAATCCAACTCACCAACATAGGTGCCCTGCAGGCTGGCGGGGATGCCGGTGGCCCCCGCGACGGCGACAGAGGCCTCGCCCACGACCTCCAGCAGCAGGCGCTGCTGCGGGTCTAGCAGGGGCGCCTCGGCGCTGGGCACGCCGAAGGCGGCGGCGTCAAAGGTCATGGGGTGGCGCAGGGCCGCCAGGAACCTGGCCGCCACCGGGTTCTCCCCGTCCACGTCCCACCTCTCGTAGGGTACCACCCCCACGACGTCCAGCGGGCGTGCGGCGGATATGGCGAGCACGTCGCGCGGACTGCGCTGGACGCCACCCAGCACCAGGACGGGCGAGGCGGGCGGAGCGCGGATTGATTGCGCCAGCGGGGCATCCACAGCAGGGCCAGTCCAAGCTGCCGACACAGCCATCGGCGCGGCAGTCACTTCCCCCTCCCTGTCCCTGGCCATTTTCTGGCCCAGGAACTCGGCCAGGGCCGACACGGTGGGGTAGTCGAAGACCAGGGTGGCCGGCAGGCGCATGCCCGCGCTGGCCTCGAGCGCAGAACGCAGCTCCACCGCGCCCAGCGAGTCCAGGCCCGCCGCCATGAGCGGGTCGGCGGGGTCCACGCTAGCGCCCAGTACGCCCGCCACCGCCTCCTGGACCAGGGCCTGCGCACCGGTGAGGTCCACGACGGCCGCCGGGCCCCGTGCGGGCGTCGGCGCGGCGGCCAGGCCCGCGAAGAATGCGTCGCGCGCCGGGAAGCGCGCCCACTGGACGGGCACCGCGGCGTGGACAGGGGGCGGCGCGGCGGCGACGGCGACGGAGGAGGCACGCAGGAGCGCGCCCAGCACCGCCAGGCCGCGCTCCGCCGGCAGCAGGGCCAGGCCGCTCCTCGCCAGCCGGCCCTCTGTGGCCCTGTCCCCGGCCGCCATGCCCGCGCCCGCCCATGCGCCCCACTGGATGCTGGAGGCGGGGCAGCCCTGTGCGAGGGGGTGGGGGAGGGGAGGAGAGTTTGGGGAACTATGCTGCGGATACTAAGTGTTTTGAATTGATGCCCTGAGGCACAGAACGGCAAAGGCGGTTGCTGGAGGGTGGTCTGCATTCCGGTATGCACTGGCCCGCAGAACAAATTACGCATCAGCATGTCCACCATGACCCACGTCCCCTCGCACCTGGTCGGCCAGGTCGGCGGCCGCAGCGTCCAGCACGGCGTTGGCCGCCGCGTAGTTGGCCTGGCCGGGCGAGCCCAGCAGGGAGGCCACCGAGGAGAAGGCCACGCAGGCCTGGACACGGGCGGCGCCCAGGAGCGAGGCTTGCAGAGCTGCCTGGGCGGCGCCCTTGGGCGCGGCCACTCGCCGTAGGGAGCCTGCGTTCAGCCCAGCCAGCAGGCCGTCGGCCAGCACGCCACCCGCGTGCATGAGCGACACGGCGCCCGCCGCGCCAGCCAGCGCCGCGACGTCGGCGGCGGCCGACGCGTCGCAGGTGCAGCTGGAGAGCGTGGCGGGTGGGGCGCCGGTCGTCGAGTTCGCGCTGGCCGCTGCCCTGCTGGCACGCAGCAGCTCGACCGGCACGGCGCCGGAGCGGCTGAGCAGGACCACCGAGGCCACCGCCGGCTGGTGGAGCAGCCAGGCGGCGACCGTACCACCCAGCACGCCGCTGCCGCCGGTCACGTAGACCGTGCCGCTCAGGCTCATGACTCGTGCATCGTCAGGCGCGTCGCCCTCCGGTGCGCGCAGGAGGCGCGGCGCCCAGGCGACGCGTGCCGAGACAGCACCACCGTGCACGCCGACCGGTGAGGCAGAGTCCGCGGCTGCTTGTGCTGCCAGGCTCCAGCCGGCAGCTGCATGGCTCGCGGACGGCTCGGTCCACAGCATGGACAGCACAGGCCCAGCAGCATCCTCGGCAGCCAGGGCCTTTAGCATGCCCTGCAGGGCCGCGCCGGGCAGCCGCGAGGCGCGTGATCGGGCCGGCGCGGCGACAGCCACGTCGGCCGCTCCCGTGCCCGCGATGCCCTTCATGGAAGCTGACCCCGCCAGGCCCTGCAGCGCCTGCAGCGCCGCAGCGGCTGAGGTTGGTGCCCGGAAGTTGGGCGCGTTGCGAGAAGCTGTCGCCGCGCGCCGCACCTCGGCTGCCTGCCAGGACGTGGTATACACCAGCTTCTTGCTCTCCTCATCCGCTGTGTCCCCAATCGAGGTAGCGTGAGCAGGCCCAGCGCTGGAAGCCGAAACCGCGAGCCGCTCCAGCGGCAGCGCGTCCAGCTCCCAGGCTGCCAGGAGGCCGGTGCCGAGGGCGATGGTGAGTTCGCCTGGTGCTGCTGCGGCGTGGGCTGCAGCATCTCCAGCACCCACACTCGTGGTTGACCAAAGAGCGCCGGCAGAAGTGGGGAGGTCCCCTGTCTCGCGCAGCGCAGCCGCAGCATCCACCGCCAGGCCCTGCAGCGCAAGACCGCATGGCAGGGCCGAGTCTGCAGTGGCGTCCAGCACGGCCACGGCCTTGCCGGCGCTCGACTGGCTGTCCAGCGCGGGCCACCACAGCGTTTTCGTCCTGGGGTTCCCTGCGCTGCCTCGGGACACGGACTTGGGCTCGGCGCTCGCCGCCACAAGGCCGGCGCTGGCGACATGCGCCGCGCCGGCCTCCTTCGTGACCAGGTGCACCGAGGCCTGGCCCCCATCCAGGGTCACATGCAGGCTGGCTCCAGCGGAAAGAGCGGCCGGCTGCGTGGTGAGGCGGCGCAGGCCGGCGCGGCCGGCGCCGAGCAGCGCTGCCGCGTCGGCGATGGCCTGCGAGGCCAGGCCCAGCGCGAGCAGGGGCACGGCGCGGAGGCACAGCGTGCGCAGCGCGGCGAGCCGCGGCTGCGCCAGGTCGGCCACGAATGCGGCGCGCTTGGCTTTCACGCCGACCAGGCCGAAGAGGTCGCTGGGCCGCGGCGCGACCCAGGCCCTCTGCCGCTGCCAGGGCAGCGCAAGGGTGTCGACGCTGTCCTCTGCGGCCGCTGCGCCATCTAGGCTGCCCAGCATCGTGTGGGCGTTGGTGCCCTGGAAGGCAAAGGAGCTCACGCCGGCGGTGCAGGCCTGGCCTGGGGCCGCGCTCGCACCAGGACCAAGGATGCGGTTGGCCGCGAAGCGGCCGACCGGCATGGAAGGCGCGACGTAGTCGTTGACACTGGTCAGGTGGAGCAGCGGCAGCGCGGCCTGCTGCGTCAGAGACAGGCTGGCGTGCGCCAGCCCCATCACGCCCGCCGCCGGCTCGGTGTGCCCGATCAGCGACTTGCCCGCGGTCAGCACCAGGGGGTGGCGGGTGGAGCCTGGGTCGGCTCGGTCAAGCAGTGCAGCCAGGGCGCCCACCTCGATGGGGTCGCCCAGCCCCGTGCCGGTGCCGTGCATCTGCAGGTACTGCAGGCTGCCCGGCGTCAGGCCTGTGTGAGGAATGCAGGATGTTGGATCAGGGGTTGAGGGGTGGGGTAAGTGAGAGGATAGGGTGGGCTGTTGCATACTCATCTACCATCAGGCTGCCAAGACTTGAAGATGGTACGTCTGATGGTGCCTCTGTAGAACCCTCATAGAATAGTTGTGACCGACTCCTACCACACAGCAACCCACCAGCAGAGGCGAGGGCGCTGCGGACGACGCCCTGCTGCGCCGGGCCGTTGGGCGCGGTCAGGCTGGAGGAGCGGCCGTCCTGGTTCACCGCCGAGCCGAGCACGGCGATGGCCGCGTCGCCCCGCGGCGCCTGGCCGGCTTGCAACAGCAGGCCGCCCAGCCCCTCCGAGCGCACATACCCGTCGGCCGCCGCGTCCAGGGTCTTGCAGCGTCCGTCGGCCGCCAGCATGCCCGACTTGGCGAAGGCAGCAGGGGTCTCCGGGGCCAGCATGACATTGACCCCGGCGTTGATCGCTGCAGCACACTGGGCCAGGGTCAGCGCGGCCAGTGCGGCGTGCAGGGAGACGAGGGAGGAGGAGCAGGCGGTGTCCACCGTCATCGCCGGACCACGCAGGCCAAAGGTGTAGGCCAGGCGGCCGGAGGCCACAGACAGCGTGCTGCCGGTGGCGGTGTAGGCCGTGACCCCCGCCGTGTGACGCGCCACCAGGCGCGCATAGTCGGTGGAGGAAAGGCCGACGAAGGCGCCGACGCGCGCACGGTCCAGGGCACCGCCGGCGCGGGCCAGCAGTTGGCCCGCGCACTCCAGGAGCAGGCGCTGCTGGGGGTCCATCAGCACCGCCTCGCTGCCGGCCACCGAGAAGGCGGCCGAGTCAAACTCGTCGATGCGGTCCAGGGTGGCCCCGAAGCGCACGGGGATGCCGCCAAACAGGTCTGTGGGTGATTGGGAGTGGCGGGAGGTGATGTGGAGGAGGGGTTGAACTGTGTAAAGGGAGGGGAGCAGGGTGGTGGCCAAACAACTTTGATGGCGGCCATGGTACATTGGCATACGGAACAAAGCACAATTCAGGACAAGCAACAGTATAAGACCCTCTCCCCTTGGCAGGAGCTCGACTTGCACGTGCCCCAGTCTCCAATTCCCAAAAACTCATAAAGGCCCAGCCCACCTTCCCCGGTGTCAATGTCCCAGCGGGACAGGGGCAGCAGGGCCACGGCGTCCACGGGCTGCAGCCCCGCAAAGGCGGAGCGCGGCGGCTGGGTGACCGACTCGCCCACCCAGATGCTGGGACGCTGGGCGACCACGGTGCTGCCCGCCGGCACAGCGACCAGGGGCCCTGCCAGGCTAGACACAGTAGCCTCGCCGGTGCCAAACATGTCGTCAGCATCGGTGGGCTCGCCGAGGACGGCCCCTCCAGCATCAGCTGACTCGCCGGCCGTCGCCCCGCCCACGCGCTCGGCCAGGAATGCCGAAATGCCTGCGATGGTGGGGTAGTCGAAGACCAGGGTGGTGGGCAGGTCGGCGCCCACCTTGGCCTCCAGGCTGTTGCGGAACTCAACGCTGGACAGGGAGTCCAGGCCCGCCGCCATGAGGGGCGCCTCGGGGTCGACCCCGGGCCCCAGCACGGCCGTCACCGCTTCGGTGACCAGCGCCGTCAGTGCTGCGGCAGACACTGCCGCCGCACCGGCGGCCGCCACAGGCAGGGCGGAGGTTGTTGCAGGTCGGGTCGCGGCCACGCTCGTGTCGTCACGGACGGCCTCGACCGCGACCTCGCCCGCAAACTCGTCAAACATGGCGAGGCCAGGGCGGGCGGCTATGGCCTGCAGGTACCGCGGCCACGAGATGGGCACGGCCGCGAGGACCGGGCCGGCCGCCGCGGCGGCGAGCACACCGCGCAGCGCGGCCAGCCCGGCCAAGCTCGGCAGCATTCCGACACCCGTGCGCTCCGCGCGCGCGCGTGTCTGCGCGTCTGCGCCGGCCATGCCCGCGCCCGCCCATGCTCCCCACTGCACGCTCAGCGTGGCCGCGCCGCGGTGCTGCGCCAGCTCAGCGGCCACATCCAGCGCCGCGTTGGCGCCGGCATAGTTGCTCTGCCCCGGGGAGCCCAGGAGCGCGGCGATGGAGGAGAAGAGGACACCAAAGGCGGCGGGCGCCTCTGCCAGCCCTGCGCGCGCCAGCGCCGCCAGCGCGCCGGACTTGGGTGCGAGCACGGCGCGCACGCCGCGCGCGCCCTGGTTGGCGATCGTGGCGTCGGACAGCACGCCCGCGGCGTGGAGCAGGCCGACCAGAGGCACGCCAGTGGCGCGCTGGGTCAGCGCCGTGGCGTCGGCGGCCACGCCGCCGTCGCCCGACCCCACCGCCAGCTCGCCGGCGTGGCCACGGCGGAGGAGGTCCAGCAGGGGTCCCGAAGCTGCGCCGGCACGCCCGCTGCGGCCCACAACGTGCACGCCAAGCCGGCAGTCGCGTGCCAGCCAGGCGGCGGTCAGCGAGCCCAGCGAGCCCAGCCCGCCGGTCACCAGCACACGGCCGACCCGGGCGCTGGGAGGCAGGTCGGTGGCGGGGTTGGTCACCACCACCTTGCCCACGTGGCGCGCCGCCGACATGGCGCGCAGCGCGGCCGTGGCATCGCTCAGGCCGTGCGTCACCCAGGGCAGCGGGAGGAGCGTACCCGTCGCCAGCCGGCCAGCCAGGCGATCCAGTGCCGCGGTGATGGCGGCGTCGGACAAAAAGTCCACCGCCACTAGCGTGTAGTGCACATCGGGGCGCTCTGATAGTGTGGTGGGTGGAGGAGGGATGGGAGTAAGTGATGAGCGGTGGCTGGAGTGTCCCAGACCGATATTCATATTACATCACGCACCCGTGCCACCCCAGAACCCAGACGTAACACCCAAGAACGACCCTCACCCTGTGCGAATCGTCCAGCACTCCAGATGTCGCGCTTGCTGATCTCCACGAAGCGCCCGCCAGCATTCAAGGCGGCCAGAGACCCTGCCACCATGCCGGAGGAGGTGAGGCTGTTGAGCACCACGTCCACGCCCCCCAGCTCCGCAATCTCGGACACAAAGTGAGTGTCGCGCGAGTTGAGGACCGAGGGCACGCCCCGCATCCTGCGTAGTTGGAATGGAATGGCGGCAGTGAGCACGCCATGCAGGCCCTTGCCAGTGGTATTGTGTGCATAGAGGCCATCTGACATCCACATCAGTGTGCGCCCTTTCCTGCTCGCCTTTACACGCAACCCTACCACCCACACACAAATCACGAAAACACCACCCACCTGACGATGCTCCTCTTCTGGGAGCTGCCGGCGGTAGCGACCACCCTGGCGCCCAGGGCATTGGCGAGCTGGATGGCCGCCAGCCCAACGCCGCCCGCCGCTGCGGGGACCAGCACGGTCTTGCCCGGCTTGACCCCGGCGGCGGCCACAAAGGCCATCTCCACCGTCATGCAGACGGTGGGCGTGGTGGCCGCCGCCTCAAAGGACAGGCCGGCGGGCATGCGCGCCAGGCGCGCCGCGGGGCAGGCCACGTGTGAGCCCAGGGACCCCGCGGCCAGGCCGAAGACGGCGTCGCCGGGGACAAAGCGGCTCACGCCTGCGCCCACCGCCTGCACCACCGCGGCGCAGTCGGCGCCGGGGGGCCCGGGGTCCCCGGGGTACATGCCCAGCACGTTCAGCACGTCCCTGAAGTTGACGCCCACAGCACGCACGCTGAGGGTCACCTCACCCGGGGCTGGCGCAGCAACGTCCACCGCGCGGCGGCGCAGGTTCTGCAGCGCGCCGCGCGGCGCAGGGAAGAGGCCAAAGGGCGCGGAGGACGGCGCGGCGGGCGCGGTGCGGCGCAGCCGCGCGTCGTGCCGCGCCTTGCCACTCTCCGCCGTGCCGTAAGCGCCGTTGCTGAAGGCGGATCCCTGCTCGGGCTCGCGCGGAGCCAGCTCCAGGCAGGCGGCGCGCGCTGCGGTCGCGTCCTGCGCGTCCAGCGCCGAGGCCGCGAGCGCCACGCGGCCGCGCGTCTCCATGGCGGCGGCGCGCAGCAGCCCACTGAGCGCCAGGCCCTTGCTTTCAGACCGGGCCGAGGCGCCGCGCAGGCCGACGAAACCCACGCCACTCGCGAAGGCCGCCAGGCCGCCCTGCAGCACCTCCAGCGCGGAGGTCGCGGCGCGCTCGTCGCCGCGAGGCAGCTGGAAGCGCGGCGCAAAGGTGGTAGTCGGTCCTTGCACCTCAACAGGCACGGCAGCGGGCCACGCCACGTTGTACAGCAGTTCTGCGATGCTCGTCGGCGCGTCGGCGGCCTGCGCCGTCGCCTTGGCCCCGGTCCCCGCCAGGGACTTGAGGGTCATGCCGCTCAGGCTCATGCCCGTGCCGCTCCCGCCCGCCAGGCCGTAGTCGAGCCGGGAGGTCGCGGAGTCGGCCGACAGCTCCCTGCTGAAGGCCCACAGCATGGCGTCCGCCAGCTTCGTGCCGCTCACCAGCACCGCGTCGGCGCCGGCAGGCACCTTCAGGCCGGCTTCCTGGCCCGTCGCGGCTGCGGCGGATTGCAGGCAGCAGTCCAGGGTGGCGGGGTGGGCGAGGAAGGCCAGGTCGGCGGCGCCCGTGTTGTCCAGGCCCGCCAGGGGGCCGGGCGTACCAGGTTGTTGCGCGGGAGTGGTCCCGCCCGCCAGCGCCTGGATGGCCGTTGAGTGGAGTGTGGGCCATGCGGAGGCACTTCCATTCCTGCTTTCCACTGCCCCGGCCTGGGCCGTCAGGTGGGCGTGCTTGAAGGCGGCCGGGGAGGAGGCCACTGCCACGGCCCCCGACGCCAGCGCCAGGCTGACGCGGATGGTGAGGCCGCGGTCGCCGCCCTCGGGCAGGATGAGGGGGTTGGGCACCTCCAGGCCCTGCAGCGCCCGGCTGATGTCTCCAGGAACAGCCGTGACGAGCCCCACCCCCGCCAGCTCCATGAAGGCCGCGCCGGGCACGACCGCGCGCCCGCTCACCCTGTGGTCCCAGAGGAAGGCGAGGGCAGGCGTGGCGCCCAGAGCGCACTCCAGCACCATCGCCCGTGCATTGATCGCGGCGCGATGCAGGCCGGCGTGCGGGCTGGGGGCCACCCAGTGGCGCCCGCGCTGCCAGACGGGCTGGACGCTCACGTTCTTGCTCGTCTCCGCATGCACTGAGGGCGATGTAGGCGCCCTGATCAGCGTATGCGCGTTGGTTCCCTGGAAGGCAAAGGCCGACACGCCCGCCAGGCACGACGCCGCGTCCGCCGCCTCCTGTGGCCGGCCAAAGGTGGCGCGCGGCAGCGCCCAGCGCGCCGGCGCCACGCCGGGGGCGGGGCGCATGGAGGTGCCCACGTACTGGTTGACGTCCTGCAGGTGCAGGATGCCCGGCAGCGCCGCGTGCGTCAGCGTCAGCGCGGCCTGCGCCACGCCGGCCAGGCCCGCGGCCGGCTCGGCGTGGCCGACCCAGGACTTGGAGGCGCTGAGCGCCAGCGGCTGGCGCCCGGCGGGGGCGCACTCCATGAACACCGCGGCGGCGGCCCCCACCTCGATGGGGTCGCCCAGCGGGGTGCCCGTGCCATGCATGTGCAGCACGGCCACTTGGGCCGCGGCCACGCTGCCGTCGGCGAGCGCGTTGCGCAGGACGTCCTGCTGGCTGGGGCCGTTGGGCGCGGTGAGTGTGGACGACCTGCCACCCTGATTCACGGCGGTGCCGACGATCATGATCGCCCAGGACGGGCCATCGTCCAGTGCAGGCCCGCCCGCCCTCGGCCCATGCAGGAGCAGGGCGGAGGCGGACTCGCCGCGGACGTAGCCGTCGGCGCCGGCGTCCAGGGTCCGGCAGCGCCCGGCAGGGGACAGCATGCCCGCCCGCTGGAACATGGCGGGGGTGTCGGGTCCCAGCGCCAGGTTGACCCCGGCGGCCAGGGCCAGGGAGGACTGCTGGGACAGGAGCGAGTTGAAGGCAAAGTGGGTGGCCACCAGGGACGACGAGCAGGCCGTGTCCACGCTGGCCGCAGGGCCCTTGAGCCGGAAGGTGTAGGACAGCCGCCCGGAAACCACGCTCAGCGCGGTGCTGGTGGCGCTGTAGGCGGTGACGCCGCGGGTGTGGCGCGCCGCCACGCGCGCGTAGTCGTTGGACGACACACCCTGAAGATTGTTGGAAAGAGAGGAATTGAGGGTAGGGAGGAAGGAAAACTGGTTTACAGTACAGCAAGGTGGGGCCTGTGGGATTGCCAGAGTGCGGCCAGTCTGGCACCCTAGAGCTCATGCCCTGTGCTCTCCAGCACTGCAGGGTTGTCCATCATTCCACCACGTCGTACGATAGAAAGGCTGCATAGACATCCAAGAGCAGTGTCCCCGCCGCTTCATCCCTCCTCCAAAAGAATAATATAAAGGAAAACACAGATCCTCCTTTCTCACCACAAACACGCCCCAGTCGGCGCGCAGGCCCTCGTCCGCCAACAGATCCACGTGACCGAGCAATGCCTGGGCCGAGGCCTCCATCAGGACGCGCTGCTGCGGGTCCAGCTGCGCGGCCTCGGTGGCGCTCACCGCCAGCGCCTGCGCGTCAAACAAGTCGACGTCGTCCAGCCAGGCGCCGTACTGCACGGGCAGGCCGCCCGCCAGCCCGGCCGCAGCGTCCACCTCCCAGCGGGACAGCGGGACGCGGCTCGGCGCGTCCACCGGCACCAGCGTCGCCAGCGCGTCGGCAGGCGACCGCAGCACGATCTCGCTCACGCCGATGACACGAGCGGGGGGAGGGAGGCGGGAGGCGAGCGACGCCGCACCGCGCGGCGACCAGAATGCCCCATCATCGACATCACTGTCAGAAAGCGCGGCGGCGGCGGGCTCCTCTCCGTCCTCGACCGCCCCGCCCTGCGCCGCCGCTACGCGGCCGGCGATGAAGCCGGTCAAAGCGGCCACGGTGGGGTAGTCAAACACCAGGGTGCCGGGCAGCTCCACGCCCGCGCGCCGTTCTAGCGCATTTCTGAGTTCCACAGAGCCCAGCGAGTCCAGACCCGCGGCCATGAGCGCATCCTCGGGGCCCACGCTGGCGCCCAGCACGCCCGCCACCGAGTCCTGCACGGCGGCCTGCACGGCCGCCCGCGCCTCGGCGCTGGGCTCGGCAGAGCCCTGCGTCGGTGTCTTCTTTGCCGGTTTGGGGGCAGAGCTGACGGTCCCCGGGTGGGAGGACAGGGTGCGACGGCGACGGGTGAAGGACGGCGGCGGAGCGCCGGGTCCGGGAGAAAGCTCCCCAGCCGGTCCCTGCTCGGCGTCGCCGCCGCCGTCACCGCCATCCACCGCCACCGCCTCGTCCTCGAACTCGGCAAAGGCCAGGGGCAGGGCACCGGCGCCGCGCATGCGGCCGACAAAACGGCCCCACATGAAGGGCACGGCCGCGGTGGTGGGGCGCGCGGCGGCGCCGGCCAGCAGCAGGCCCGCCACGGCGCCCAGGCCCAGCTCGGGGTCGATCATGGCCAGGCCCATGCGCTCCACGGCCTTAGCGGTGCCGACGTGCGCGGCGGCCATGCCGCCCTCGGCCCAGGCGCCCCACTGCACGCTGGCAAAGCCCGCCAGGCCCTGCGCCTGCCAGGTCTGGGCCGCAGCGTCCAGTGTCGCGTTGGCCGCCGCGTAGTTGGCCTGACCGGGGGAGCCCAGCAGGGCCGCCACGGAGGAGAAGGCGAGGTGCAGGGTGGCCGGGGACGACCTCAGCGCGCCCTGCCACAGCTGGACCGCGTCGGCCTTGGGGGCGAAGGAGGTGCGGATGCCGGCCACGCTCTGGTTGGCCAGGGTCGCATCGGCCAGCACCCCGCCGGAGTGCACCACACCCTGTGTTTGTGGTGTATGTATAAGAGGAGTGAGAAATGGCATGAACAAGATCTGGGAGCCAGGGGGTTGCTTTACTAATCTCTCACAGATGTTGGGAGGTTCCTGAGGGAGCCAAAGAGCAAAACCCCATCTCCCAAGCCACAGCATCCCAACCAAATATCTCACCTGCAGGTGGGATGCGGTGCCCAGGCTGGCTGCGGCGGCGGCCACCTCGGCCGCGCTGCCCGCGTCGCAGCGCCGCATGGTGACGGGGACGCAGCTGCCGGCTACGGCAAGTGCCACGGCGCCCTCTGCGGAGGCGCCACGCCCGGAGCGTCCCAGGAGCAGGATCCCCCCGATGGACTGCCTGGCCAGCCAGCCGGCCAGCAGGGAGCCAATCATGCCAAAGCCGCCGGTGATGGCAACGGTGCCGCGCGCGACGTCCGCGTGGCGCTGCTGCAGCGTCCCCGTCCTCACCACGATCTTGCCCACGTGGCGCGCGAGCGACATCTGGCGCAGCGCATTGCGCACATTGGTCAGGTCGTGAACGACGTTGGGCAGGGGGCGCAGGCCGCCCTGCCCGATGTAGTAGGCCAGGCGGGATAGGCAGTACTGCACCGCCTCGTCCGACAGGAAGTCCACCGCCACCAGGTTGAAGCTGATGTCGGGGCGTTCTGAGGGGCAAGGAAGCAGGAAGAGAGGGTGAGGATTCAAGAGTTGGGGACAGGGGTCTGCAATGTGGTGAGTGATGTGCATCACTCCAAGGGACAAGGGGTACAGCGCATGGCCAAATATATGAGTATATACAGGCACACATCATTGTTCCAGCCTATACCAACTCTCAACCCCCCCCCCCTTCTCACCTTGCGCCACGCGGGCGCCACTCCAGATGTCGCGCTTGCTGATCTCCACAAACTTGCCTCCGACCTTGAGGGCGGCCAGGGACCCGGCCACCATGCCGGAGGAGGTGAGGCTGTTGAGCACGACGTCCACCCCCCCCAGCTCGGCGGCCTCGGAGACGAAGCCCGTGTCGCGGGAGCCCAGCACCTCCCGCACGCCCAGGCTGCGTACCAGGGCGCGCTTGGGGGCGCCGCCGGCGGTGGCCACCACCTGGCAGCCCTGCAGGGCGGCCTGCTGGATGGCGGCCAGGCCCACGCCGCCGGCTGCGGCGTGCACCAGGACCCGCTGGCCGGGGGCGCAGGCCGATGCCTGGCGCAGCGCGCAGTCCACAGTGATGAACACCGTGGGCATGGTGCTGGCGGCCTCAAAGGACAGGTTGTCCGGCATGGGTGTGAGCGTGAGCGCGCTGGCATGCACGTGGGAGCCCAGGCAGCCGCCGGCCAGGCCGAAGACGGCGTTGCCTGCGGAGTGGGTGCGTCGGGGGCGATGAGCTCTCATGCGTGTTGGGGAGTCTAGAAACATGGGTCTGGCTGCAAAGAAGGCGAGGAGAAGGATGCGATGCCCTCAGACAACCATCAGCGTGGCCATGTTCCCTCTACCAACAACAGAGTGGCATCAGCGCTCACCCATCTGCAGGTTGGTGACTCCGGTGCCCATACCGACCACCACTCCGGCGCAGTCCCCACCGGGGGGACCGGGGTCTCCAGGGTACATGCCCAGAACATTCAGCACATCCCTAGGGGTGTTGGCATTGGAGGAAGGCGATTTTCGGCGGGGCGTGAGAGGAATGTGTTGTAGGCACATTTGCATGACATATGATGATGGACCGATACCGTCACGATGCCCTCCAGGGATTGACACCTGGTTCTCCAATCACACAGCAGCATCGACTTCTGCGTGTCCACAGTCCAAGCGCTGTAGGCATCCAACCAACCTCCCCGCCCTCCCCCCGAAAAGATACTCGTAACAAACCGCCCACCTGAAGTTGATGCCCACGGCTTTCACGGCCACCAGCACCTGGCCAGGTGCCACGCTCTCCTCCACAGGCAGCGGCCCCAGGTTCTGCAGGGCCCCGCGCGGCTGGGGGAAGAGGTGGAAGGGTCCCGGCGCGGGCGCCAGGGGGCTGCGCCGCAGCTGCAGGGCCCCCTGCACCCCTGCTGAGAGTGAGGTGCCGTACGCGCTGCCGGGCGCCAGCGTCGGGGCCTGGCTGGAGAGCGCCGCGCGAGGGCGCGCCAGCGCCCCCGGCCCGACGACGTCCAGCGCCGAGGTCTGCAGGGACGGGGCCTCCAGGGCCAGCGTCCTCGCCAGGCCCCAGATACCCGCGGTCGTCACCGCGCCGCGCGCGGCCGGGGTCAAACCGCGTGCCGTCTCCTCGCCCAGCGCCGCGCCGGCGGTGGTGAGCGCCAGCGAGGCCGCGCCGGAGGTCGCCGCCTCCTGCGCCAGCGCGATGGCCGTGGTGGCGAGGGCGGCGGGCCCCAGGGCCTGCTTCAGGACCAGGGCCAGGGATGGAATGGGAGCAACGGCACCAGCCGCTGGGCCTCCTACAGTCTGGACCTTGGCCCAGGCCAGGTCGTACATCCAGCGCTCGGGCTTGGCATAGACGCCGTCGGCGGCCGCGGCCCGCTTCTTCTTCAGTGCGCGCGCGCGGCGCGCGTCCGAGCTGCCGGAGCCGCCGGTGGGGCGCGCCTCCAGGCCGCTGACGGAGGCGGAGGGCGCCGCGGCCGCGTCGCTGCGCAGCAGGTAGTCGGTCCAGGTGGGCTCGCCGGTGGACAGCGCACCGGGCGAGTCCTCCTGCGGGCAGGCGGCGGCGAAGGCCGGCAGGCGCGCGAGGGAGGGCCCCGCGGCGGCGACCTCAAACGCGTCGACGCCGGCGGGGATGCGCAGCGCCGCGCCGGCCTCCAGGCTGGCGGCCGCGCCGAGCTGCAGCGTGCAGTCCAGCGCGGCAGGAGACATGCGGTAGCCTGAGGTACTGTGCGTGGGCTGCGCCACAGAGGCCGTGGAGGGTGCGATGCCCACCAGCGGCACCAGGCGCAGCAGGAGTGCGGTGCCGCGAGCGGGGCGCTTGGCCTTGACCCCGGAGGTGGCCCCGGACACGACCGCGCCGGCCTTGGCGCTGCGCGCCGCGGGCGCGGTCGCGACGGTCGCCGCCAGGTGCACCGGGGCGCGGCGGCCGGCCCCGCTCTGCAGGCTCACCGTGCCGCGGTCCGCGCTGACCACGGCGGTGAGCTCGGCAAAGGGGTAGGTGTCCGCGCGCCGCGCCTCGCTGGGGATGGCCAGCCGCAGCGGGGAGGGGATGGTGGCGTCTGCCAGCAGGGACGCCAGGCCCGGGCCCAGCAGGCAGGCAACCGCCGCGGCCCCCGCCTCGAAGAAGCCAGCGCCGGGGAAGAGGGCCATGCCGTTGACCACGTGGTCGAGGAGGAAGGAGGACGCGGGGGCGGAGAGCAGGGTGGAGAAGACGGCGCGCGAGTTGCGCTTGGCCGTCCCCGCAAAGGTCTCCAGCAGACTGTGCACCGGGGGGTGCACCCAGACGCGCTCGCGCTCCCAGGGCTGGCGGGCGGGCCCCGCCCAGCCGCGCAGCTCGCGGCCGGGTGCCGCGCCGATCAGCGCGTGCGCGTTGGTGCCCTGGAAGGCAAAGGCGCTGACGCCGAGGGACCGCCGCCCGCTCGCGGCCGAGGCGTCGGCGCCCCAGGGCGCGTCGCCGCGCGGAACGGCCCAGTGCCCTGCAGTCTTGGACATGGCACCCTCCAGGTAGGGGTTCAGGGCGCGCAGGTGCAGGATGGGCAGCTGGGTGGAAGCCAACAGTGCGGCGTGCGCGTGCGCGATGCCCACCACCCCCGCCGCCGGCTCGCCGTGCCCGATCCAGGACTTGGAGGCCAGCAGGCTGAGGGGCGGGTCGCCGCCCGGCGCGGCGCCCAGCAGCACCGCCGACAGGGCGCCCACCTCGATGGGGTCCCCCAGCGCCGTGCCTGAGGGAGGGAGGATAGGGGAGAGGAGGTGTGGAGTGGGTTGGAGGGATTGAGAGGCGTGAGGAGCACGCGCATCGCTGTCTGTACCTTAATTCTCCTCCCCTCGCCCTGGGAAACCCCATGCCCCTTCAACACCCTCCCCCTCCATCCAGCCAGGAGCACGACGACGCACCTGTGCCATGCATGGACACGCCGGAGACGTCGGAGGCGTGGAGGCCAGCCACCGCCAGCGCGCTGGCAACCACGCTTTGCTGGGCGGGGCCGTTGGGCGCGGTCAGGCTTGAGGAGCGGCCGTCCTGGTTCACCGCCGAGCCCTGGACCAGGGCCAGCGCCGGCCCGTCCTCATCGGCGCGCGCCAGCTCGTCGGCGCCGGTCAGCGCCAGCAGCATGGCGCAGCAGGCCTCGGCGCGGACGTAGCCGTCGGCGCCGGCGTCTAGGGACTTGCAGCGCCCGTCGGCGGTCAGCATGCCAGCCTTCTGTGCGCTGTAGTGCGTCTCCGGGTGCAGCGCCAGGTTGACCCCGGCGGCCACCCCCCAGGCGCACTGGCGCATGAGCAGCGCGGTGGCCGCCACGTGGGTGGCAACCAGGGATGACGAGCAGGCGGTGTCCACCGACAGCGCAGGCCCGCGCAGGCCAAAGGTGTAGGACACGCGGCCAGACACCACGGACCCCGCCGCGCCAGTGGCCGAGTAGGTGGTGGTGCCAGCATGGTCCACCGCCACGCGTGCGTAGTCCGCCCAGGAGCAGCCCACGAAGATGCCGCAGGAGGCGACGTCCAGGGACGGGCGACCCACGATCACCTCGGCGCCGGCCTCCAGCACCAGGCGCTGCTGGGGGTCCACCAGCTCCGCCTCGGCGCCCGACAGGCCAAAGACGGCGCGATCAAAGCGGTCCACATCCTACATTGGGTTGGAGGGAGAGGGATTTGGGGACAGTTGGGGAGTGGGAGGATGTTCAAGGCAGTAGGGAAGAGGTGCGGACACTCAGTCAGTGCTAGAGAGAGAAGGGGGCTTGGAGATTCGGGTGTCAACAGCGGTGCGGGAGCAATGAAGGACTCCACTGTCACTGCTAGCCTTCCAGATACCAGGCCTTGGCAATACACCCGCCAGCCTGCCCTGTGGCAACCCCTTTGCACCCCGCCCCTCCAACTTGGGCCCCCCACCAAAAAACGAAACCCAGCTCACGTCCAGCAGGCTCGCGAATCTGTTGGGCAGGGGCCCGCCGCGTGCCGTCTGCGCCTCGACATCCCACCGGTCCAGGCCGATGACGCGGACGGCGTCCCGCGCGCCGTCCCCTGCCCGGCCCTGGGTGAAGGGGCGGTGGTCGGTGGTGGCGCGCAAGCTGACCACCGCGTCCCCCAGGCCGAAGCCGGCACCACCGCCGCGCAGCGCCTGGGTGAGCTGGGCGGGGATGGTGGAGGGAAGGTCGGCCGCGCCCCAGGAGTCGTACTCGGCCTCGCCTTCGTCAGCGCCGTGGTCGCCACCGGGGGCGACCACCACGGTGGCAAGGAAGCCGGAGATGGCGCGGGCGGAGGGGTAGTCGAAGACCAGCGTGGAGGGGAGCTCCACGCCCACATCCCGCTCCAGCACGTTCCTGAACTCCACGGAGCTCAGGGAGTCCAGACCGGCTGCTGAGAGCGGGTCGTCTGCGCCGATGTCGGTCCCCAGCAGCTGGCTGGCAGCTGCTGACACCAGTGAAAGGAAGGCGTCGGGGTCCACAGGCGCTGGCGCCGAGCGCGGCTGGACCTGGGACCCGGGCGCCGCGGCTGACGCCGCCGGGGCAGTGGCAGTCGCCAGGAAGGCAGAGATGGCGGCGGCCGATGGGTAGTCGAACACCAGCGTCGAAGGCAGCTCGGTGCCGACCTCCCTTTCCAGCACGTTTCTGAATTCCACGGAGCTCAGGGAGTCCAGGCCGGCGGCAGAGAGCGGGTCGTCTGCGCCGATGTCGGTCCCCAGCAGCTGGCTGGCAGCTGCCAGGATCGTGGGTAGGAAGGCTGTCGGGTCGACTGAAGGCGTGACGCCAGCTGGGGCCGTGGCAGCCACAGTGGAACCGGCAGCAGGCTGCAGGGAGGCCGCCACAAACCCGGCGATGGCCTCGGCTGAGGGGTAGTCGAAGACCAGGGTGGTGGGCAGCTCCATGGCAAGCTGCCCCTCCAGGACGTTCCGGAACTCGACAGAGCTGAGGCTGTCCAAGCCAGCGGCCATGAGGGGCTCGGCCGGGTCGACGGCACGGCCCAGCACCCCCGCCGCGGCTGCCAAAACCTTCTCCAAGATGCCGTGGAGGACCGCTGCCGGCGGGGCGGCGGGGGTCGCCGTTGCCTCGGCCCGCCCGCCAGAGGGCGGGCGCGGCGGCAGCCGGCGCGCGGCGGGCCGACCAACAGGAGCAGCCACAGCGGCGGGCTTCACGGCGGCTGCTGCTGCGGCGTACTCGCCAAACATGGGCGGAACGCCTGCCAGGCGCGGCATGAACCTGTCCCACAGGAAGGGCACGGCGGCCAGCACCGGAGCGGCGCCTGCCAGGACGCCGGCGAGCGCATGCAGGCCGCCCACGGGCTCCACCATGCCCATGCCCATGCGCTCGACGCGCAGGGCGGTGGACTTATCCTGGGCCGCCATGCCGCTGCCTGCCCATGCGCCCCACTGCACGCTGGTGGAGGGCAGGCCCCGAGCCTGCGCCAGCGCGGCGGCCGCGTCCAGCGCCGCGTTGGCGCCGGCGTAGTTGGTCTGCCCCGCCGACCCCAGCAGCGAGGCGACGGAGGAGAAGAGGGCGGCTGCGGTCACGGGCTGCCACCCGACGGGGCCCGCCCAGGCCTCCACGACGGCGGTCTTGGCACCGAAGGACGCCCGCACGCTGCGCACGCTCTGGTTGGCCAGCGTGGCGTCCGCCAGCACGCCGCCGGAGTGCACCACGGCGGCCAGGGGGGAGTCGCGGGGACCGAACACGGCGCGGCTGTCGGCGGCGACCGAGGCGTCGGCCATGACCAGGCTGACCGGCGCCAGGCAGGTGCGCAGGAGGTGCGCCAGGTCGGCGGAGCGCGCGTCGGCGACGCGGCCGACGCGGCCCACCAGCTCCAGCGCCGCGGTGGCGCTGTCCGTCGCGCCCAGCCACCCGGCGATCAGCGTGCCCAAAGACCCCGTGCCGCCGGTGATGACGGTGCGGGACTGGACAGCGGACGGGGTGGGCAGCGGCGCCGCGCGCCGGCGGCCCGGCAGTAGCGTCGCTTGCAGCGAGATGCCCGAGCGGTGCGCCATGCCGTAGGCCCTTTCACTTGCGCCGTCGGCGGCGCCGGCCCCACTCAGAGAGAGCGATGTCTGTTCGCTGGAGCCATACGCCAGCGCGTCTTCGTCCACGGCGGACACACTCGCGCCAGCCACCTCCAGGCCCACCGAGCGCAGCACGCCCCACAGCAGCGCGGGCGCCTGCGTGGCAGAGGAAAGCGCGGGGCCCAGCGCGGGCGCAGGCGCCGCCAGGGCGCCATGCAGCACGGTGGGCGTGCGCAGGCCGAGGGAGAAGGGTGCGCGGCCGGCGGCCGCCAGCCGCGTGGCGATGGCGGCGATGCCGTCCAGCCCCACGCGCGCGGGGCCGCGCCCCGGCGGCGCGATGGCCAGCGACAGGGCGGCATCTGCGGAGATGTGCGTTGCTGTCTCAGCACGTGCAGCCTGCCACGCCGTACCATACACCAGCTGGGAGCGGTTCGGTACATCGCCGGTCGCCGACACGGCGGCGCAGGCGGCGGGCGATGGGCGGCAAGGCGCCCAGGGGGCGGGAGTTCAGGCCGGTGATCGTGGCGGTGCCCGGCAGGACGCCGTAGTCGTTCATGTCCCCCGCGGGGGAGCTGAGGCGGCAGGCTGCGACTGCGGCGAGGCCCTCGGGCGCACGTGCCCAGGCCGGCAGCGCCAGCATCTCCACAGCGGCGGGGACCTTGAGCGCCACCGGGCCGGAGGCACCGCGGCCGGGAACCGCCGCCAGGTGCAGCGTGGCGTCCAGGGCGGCGGGCGAGAGGGACACGTCCCGCGCCCGGTCGGCGGACGCAGAGATGCCGGCAAAGTGCGCTGCGATGCCCGGGGCGAGGGCGAGCGGCATGGACCCCGCCACCGCGTCCAGCGCCGGCCCGCGAGCCAGCGCCTGCAGGTTGGTGGGACGGCGGGTCAGGCCCTGCCCCGTGCGCCGACGCCGCGGCGCGTCGGCGTCGTTGGCAGCGGCCACGCCGCAGCGCAGGTGCGTCTGGCGCCGCGCGCCGCTGGACACGACCTCCACCGCGCCGGTCTGGGTGGTCACGCGGCAGAGCAGCGCCGCGGCCGCCAGGCCCGGGCCCGGGGATTGCAGAGGCAGGGGGGCGGGGACGGCGGCGTTCACCAGCAGGGAAGGGGGGGCGTCGCCCCCGCCGCTGAGCAGGCAGGCCGTCGCCGATGCCAGCTCGAAGAAGCCGGCGCCTGGGAAGAGGGGGCGGCCGCCCACCGCGTGGTCCCACAGGTACTCCATGTGCAGGCCGGCGAGGCGGCACTCCAGCCCCACGGAGCCGGGGCCGAGGCGCAGCGCCCGGCCCAGCATGGCGTGAGCGCGGGGGACCACCCAGCACCGCTGCTCCACCAGCTGCTTCTGTGGCTTGGCAATGCCGGTGGGTTGCGGGCCGGGCGCCAGCAGCGCGTGCGCGTTGGTGCCCTGGAAGGCAAAGGCGCTGATGCCCTCCAGCTTGGGGCCGTGCAGGGCGCCGAGCTGGCGCGGTGCCCACCACGCGCCCTCGTACCGGCTGCTCTTGAAGGCACCTGTGAGG